CCAATGATTTGTGTGTATTTGTTTGTGTGTCCCAGGGTCCCTTCATTAACGCTCGACCCAGTGGGCGTGATCTGGGCGCAGCTGCATGCCCACGCTCCGACTTGGAGCGATTTCGCAATGTGCCGCTACGCATCCTATCTGGGCTTCGCCGTTGAGCCGGAACGGGCGGAACGGTCTTGGTCAAAGCCCCTGGACGAGTTTGTTGCCCGAGCCCGTCTCTGGAGGTTCGTCGGATGTGGATTCTTCATGGGTGCTTTGGCTCTCCGCATTTGCGTGTTCCCCGTGGTCACGTTCCTCTAGCAACTCGACAACCTGCCGTCGAATTGGGGCGCATATAAAAGACGTGCCGGTAATGTGCTGTTCCATGGTCCCCGTGGCCGGGCGCCTCCAGAGGGGTTGCGGGATTTGCGGTCCAACGGCCTTGCCGCGGAGCTTGCGGACGCCCGCGGCACCTCCACGGTAGCCAAGTGCAGAGTGCACGGTTGGGAGAACCACGCGCGTGGTGGGCTATCCATCCGGCGTCCTGAGCGGCATCTTCGTGCGCTCATCCAGGACTCCCAGCACATCCGCAAAGCGACGTGGAGCACATGGTGCACATCGAGTTTCTTGTCCAACCTCCAGGCCGCAAGCGACACACTGTATGCGAAGGCACGCCAGGCCGGCGCGTCGGTCGACGAGCTGGTCCAGGCAGGCGTTCGTGAGCCCATGCCCCGGGAGCGCTGGCAGAGACCGTGCGAGATGATGCGTCGCACCGGCCGCAGCCAGAGCGCGTGCATCGGCACTTGTCACCACCCACCAAACCACCCCAACCCAACCCGAAGGCCTGAAATTTGCCTCCATTTCCAGTGGGGGGGGGGTCGGGGAACATTGAAAAAACACATATGGAACCCGTACCCCCCCCAACCCGAAATTGGGGTCTTCGGGTTGGGTTGGGGTGGTCTGGTAGGTAGTCAACTTGCGCCGCTGCTTGGGCCGACGACCCGCGCATGTCCTCCCAGGTCGCCGCGGGGACAGAGCGATCTGCCGTGCTGCGCGGGCCGGCGCCTTCCGTGCCGCCCCGTGCTTGTGTCAGGAGGGGAGAAAACACACAGACACAATGATTCGTCGGTTCCCAGGAAATAGAGGAAAATATGGGAATTGGGCGGGAAGACGAAAGCCCAGAAGATGTGGGAAAATATAGGGGGAGATCTTTTCTTGTGTGTATTTACTTGTGTGTCCCAGGGCCCCTTCAGTTTGGGCTGGCGTCTCCCGTGCGCTCTGCAAGGGGTGGGCGACGAGCCGGCGCATGCAGCGCAGGGCGCCCTGCTGCTTCCGGCTGCGGCGCTCGCGAGAGGACTGCCTCGAGCAGCGGGCGACGCTTCGGCCTATCCCAGCCACCTCCCTCTGAGCGCCTCGCTTCGTTCCTCCTCCCCTCCCCCTGCTTTTTCCCGATCACCCTTCCAGCGAGCTCGCACGACTAGCGCTCGCACCTCGTAGCTTCTACGCGGCAGCCAACGCCGCGCGCCATGGTTTGGCGAGTGACGCCGCTGAGGTTATGGCGCAATGTGCGCGCGAGGCCGGCGCGGCACATGCTGGCCTTGCAGCCCTAGTAGCAGCGAGTTGGCAGAGCTACCCCTCTCCTCTTCCTCCTGTTCCTCCGTCCTCTTCCTTGGTCGGGTCCTGGTGCCTCCTCCTCCTCTTCTGGATTGTGGCCGTTTTTCTTCCCCCCAGCTGTGGCTGGGCAGCCAGCTGCACGTGGGGTGTCATTCGACTTGAGTTGTTACTGCGCGTTCATGCCTGGCCGCCGTCGGGGACAGCGGATGATTTCCACGGGTGTTGTGCGATGCGTAACTCCTCGCAGCCATGCTCCAGCGCCCTCCGCCTCCTCCTCCTCCTCCTCCTCCTCCTCCTCCTCGCCGCTCCCGGCTTCACCGATACGAGTTGGGGGGCATTCGTATCATCCCGTGTGCGCGCGGCATTGTTAGGGCAGCGTTTTCCTAAGCAGCGGCGGAGGCCAAGGCCATGTGTTGGCTCCGTTTGTGCCGCTTCCCGGTTGCTGCCGTTCCTCCCCCTTCTCCCCGTCCCCGCGCCAGAGAATGCCAGACGGACCATGGTCCGGTGGGCAGGCTTTGCTGCTGTGCAGCTGCCCGCTGCCAGGCTTCTCCGCCGCCGATCGGCACTGTGGCATGGGCCGAGCTGCCGCGGTAGGTAAAAAGCGAGGCAATGCCCTGACAGTCGACGAGCCGATCCGGCAAAATTTTGCCTTACCGTCGGGGCCCTGAAGAAGGAACCCTTGTCGTTGGGGAGGGGCTCCGTGTTCCTTGATTGTTTCGCAGTTTGCCTTAGGTTGTCCTTAGATTTTCGATGGGGAATCGAAATTTATCTTATGGAAAAGAGGGGCCTCGTTCCTTATTTAGGGTTCCTTAGGTCAACGCCCCGACTGTGCACGCTTGCCGTTGTCTACCCTAGGCTGTCCTCAAAAGAACGTTTCACTTTCACTTGAGCGTGCCGATCGCCGAGTATGCGGTGACATGAACCTGGCCGGCCAATCGAGCACGATCGTTCTTTGATGTAGACGGGTCTAGCCCCATGAGGGGAAGCGGATTTGCTTCGGGGGTGGAAAAAGTTGTGTTGCCGGCCCCCCGTTTACAACAATAACAACAATCATTTCACGGCTGTTCGCTCTTACTGGAACGCGTGCCGTGCATTCTGTATACACCAGCCTTCGAACCCCGCCTACTTCGTCTTCGATTACACCCCGTTTCGGAGGGGATTTCTTCCTTGCCGGCCACTGACTGAAGTGCGAGGAACGCTCGAGTGAGAGCGCCGTTCCTGAGCACGGGGGCCTCTCTGGCCAGGGGCTCTCGGAACACATAAGGGGAGATATCGAGCGAGAGTGCGAGAGTCCTTGTCGCCATGTCTGGACCTCTACCCACTTGTTTGAATTACGAGAAAGACTCGAGCGAGAGCGCCACTCTTGAGTTCGGGGGCCTCTCTGGCACGGGCCTTTGCGAATACGTCTTGAAGAACTATCGAAAGAGAGCCCTTGTCGTCGTAGTTGGGCCTCCACCAATTTGACAGAATCACGAGAGAAGTCTCGTGCGAGAGCGCCGTTCCTGAGTTCGGGAGCCTTCCTGGCCAGGGGCTCTCGGAATAAATCATGAGAAAGTATCGGGCATGAGCCCTTGTCGTGGCTGGGCGTCCGCCGACTTGATTGAATTCCGAGGAAGTCTCGAGCGAGAGCGCCGTTCCTGAGTTTGGGGGCCTCTCTGGTCAGGGTGTTTCGGGGTAAATCGTGAGGAAATATCGAGCGGGAGCCGTTGTCGTCGTAGCCGGGCCTCCAAGGAGCCACATTTACGTGCAAGCCAGCGCTCGCGCGGGGGCCTCGTTCTTTTTATTCCGTTTTTCAGAGAAAATGTAGCTGGCGTCGAGGCGAATGCGCGCGGAAACGTCCCCGGAGATCAGGAGTAATTGTTCTATAGAAATGAGTATGCAACGGCTCCCGCATGATACTTCCTCACAACTTATTCCCAAATCGCGCTCTGGCGTGGGACCCCCTTGCGATTTATTCAGACGCCGCGCTCTCGACACTCAGGAGTCACGCTCTCGATTTGGATTCTCGCACGATTTATTTGGGGAGTCGCGGTATCGCTTGAGACCTCGCGAGTCCTGCAGGACGCACGCTTCAGCAACCCGCCTGCTCGACCTGGCCCGTTTGGGCCCCCCTTCCCGACGCGCCCTTTAGGGTCTACCCGCCTGGTTTGCCCGTCTGGTGTTGCCACGTGGTTTTTGCTCCTAGCCCCCTCCTCCTACTCTCTCTCTCTCTCGTGCTCCATACTCCTCCTTCTCCCCTTGTGCTTTCTTTTCTTCCGTCCATCCCTCCCCTACCTCAGGGGCTGCACGAAATACACGTTGCTGGTAAGAAAACATAAGCCTCAAACAGGGGCGATCGAAGACGAAGAGGGTGGGTATCGAGGGTTTGGGATATATGTATTAGGTGGGTCGCGAGCAGATAAGAGCGAACATTAGTAAAGCGATAGTTGTGGTCGTTATTATTGTTGTTGCTATTGATTTGTCATTTCTAGAGAATACTTTTTGCTGATCCCCCCAGCCCGGTAACCATTGTAGTTGTTAGATTGAAGTGTTTCTCGTGGGGTTCGCACCCTGTTTCTTACAAGACAAAGCGAGGGGCCACCAAACTGTGTTGTTTGGCCCCGAGCTACAGCAACAACGGTTCCCGCCTGAGAGCTACTTCCTCACAATGGATTCCCAAATCGCGCTCTCGCGCGGGAGGTCCTCACACTTAATGTAGGAATCGCGCCCTCGCGTGTGACTTCGTCGCCATTTATTCAGACGCCGCGCCCTCGACACTCAGGAATCACGCTCTCGCTGTGAATTTCCCGCCAATTACCGGGGAATCGACCTGTTGCTCGAGATTTCCTCCGTCCTCTCTTCCCCTGCCTTAGGGGCTGCACGAAGTACATGTTGCAGGTAAGAAAGATATACCCTTGAGGAGGCAAGATCGAAGACGAAGAGGGCGGTTATCGAGGGTTTGGGATAGACGTGTTGAATGGCACTCGGGCAGGTAAGATCGAACAGTACCAACATGATTATTATTGTTGTTGTTGTGGTTGTTGTCGTTGGTGGTGGTGTTGTTGATGTAGTTGTCGCTGCTGTTGCTGTTGGTGGTGTTGTTGGTATTGTTGCGCTGTCTGCTGTTAGTTGTCGTTGTCCATCCACGCAATCCGGCCCGCGACCCACCCACGATCCACCCACCCACCCACCCACCCCTCGACCCACCCGCGACCCACGCGGATTTCTTTGATCGGCGCGTGCCAGGGGCGGCGCCAGAGGCGCGTGCCAGGGAGGGGGGCCAGCGCCGATCCAGGAAAGCCGCGCGGCGCTCCGAGAGTTGATGTCTATGATGTGTTCTGCCTTTCCACCTCGGCGATGCTCACGCCGAGTCCGTCTCGGTGCTTCGCCCCCTGCAGCCGGCCTGGCCCCATCGCTGCCCCGCGCAGACGAAGCAGATGAGGAAGGCGGAGAAGGCCGTTACAGCGGCGAGGAGGAAGGCCGCGCTGCTCGCGAAGCGGCGGGAGGAGGTGCAGCGGGCGAGCAACAGCATGACTTACCTTGGCATCGCTCGGACGTGTGCATTTTTCCGTCGGCGAGGACCATCGAGGAGAATCCTTGAGCATTTGGCGAAACAACCACGCACGAAACCGAAAAAAACACAGGGAATCGACGTCCGAGCGATGGCCAGATACGGGCGGGAACTTCGAGACACCGTGCCGCTCCGCCGGTTCTGGCCCACCACGCTGAGGCGCGACACGCTGTCCACATGTCAGTCCTTGTGAGGAAATTCCTGGAGGCCTCGCGCGGCGCGCAATGGTTGTGTTATCTTGTTCGCGCGGCGATGTTCCGACGTAGATCCAACGTAAATCCGACCTGAGCCCGGCGTAAATCCGACGCGGAGCCGACGTACATTGGGTCTCAAGTTGCCGCTCGAAGCCTCCAGGATTTTCCCCATAACGGCTCCCAGGCATTAATGTCCTGCCCCTGCGCTGCGTAGCCATTCACAAGGCATAGCGCTTCGCAGGGGTAAAACCAAAGCTCCTGACCGTAAGCTCTTCCGCGATCGGGGGCGCTTACCAGATGTGTCTTGAAAGCGCCGGGGCGGCACATGCAGCGGTGGCCAGGGCGGCTGGCTGGAACCTTTACATCCCCGCCTGCCACCGTCGGGGTACCCATCGGTCGTTGAAAGCAGGTATGTTTGGATTCTCAGACTTCAGTCTGCTTCAAGCGCCTTCCTACTTCGATGATCGAGTGGTTTCACCGTTCCCGTCCCTCTTGGGGGGCGGGCGAAACCCAAACTACTTGCCACGCCCTCCTGCTTCAGCCTCCGACCTGCCTCTTCCCGACCGAGGGGTGCAAAAGCTGCCCAGCCGCCCTTGGGAGAGGCGCCCCTCGAGGGAGGGGGGCCGCTCCGTCTGTGCCGCTCCTGGCCCGCCGAGGTCGACGCCTCGCGGAGGGCCAGGCAGGCGAAGCAGATCGAGCGGTGGCAGGCGTACATCGGCCTGCCTCCCCTGGACGCGCCGGGCGGCGGCGGCGCGCCGGACGCCGGAGGCGCCGCCGGCCCCGGCGAGGCCGCGGAGGCGGCCGACGACGAGCCCATGCTGCACCTGAAGCCGGTCCCGCGTGCGGGCGACGAGGGGCACCTCGGCGGCATCGTGCTGGCAGAGTTCGGGGAGTGCGGCCTGGCGCAGGACGTCAGAGGAGGAGGAGGGGGCACCGATGCGGCCCTGCCCCCGGTTGCGCCCTGTGGGGCATCCTGGGAGCCCCTCGTCGCCACGGCTGTGTGCGCTGCGAAGTGTTGGTCAGAAAGGCATCCCGAGAGAGGTCCGGGGAGCAGCGGCATCGGTATCTTGTTGTCCCCCAGGACGCTTGGTCGCTGCTGCACTTCAAGCGGTGCCAGCCCAAGCAGGACGATCTGGCAAGAGGTCGCCGCACGATTCAGCTCTCGGGGGGGTTCGCAGACGCTAAGAGCCTAAAACTGCACGGGCGCTACGTACCGCAACCCAGGGAGAACCAGCAGACCAGCGATTGTCGCTACCTAGTCGGGCTGCAGGGCACTGGCTCGCGCCGGCTCTACATTGCCGAGGCTGAGATGTATTCCCTCGAGAGGGTGCTCCCAGAGGCCGAGGTGCTCAACCCAGGGGGCGCGAAAAAAAACTTCACCGAGCTCCGGACGAAGGCGGTGGAGGACCTCGGCACCGCCACCGCGGCGCGCCAGCAGAAGGCCACGGTCAAGCAGAGGGAGCAGGAGGTGAAGGCTTCCTAAGGGCTTAACGGCTTCCTCCAAGCGATTCGTGGGGATGAGGCCAAACCAAACGAGGTAAGGCCGAATGAACAGATCGAGGTAGATACGAATAAAGCTAGGTGAGTCCAGAGATCTCCAGGGCAATCTGGAAGAAATCGTGGACGCCCCCGCGCGAGTGGAGGGACAGCAGAAGTCGTTAAGACCTTGACGAAAGGCCGCCGACTTTGGGGCGATCGCCGCGTCGCTGGGCGAGCGTGCGCAGGCGCAGCAGGATGCGCAGGTGTCCATAGAGGAGCGGCTGAGCGCGGCCACGAGGCGCGTCATGCCCAGGTTCGACGCCGAGGCCCTGAGCCCCAAGGATTCGAGGAGGGCGACGTTGAGGCAGCGGTACGTCGTCCCCAGATGCTCTCGGGTCATGAAAAAATCCTGACGGAGGGTTGTTACCATTTTCGGCCTCTGGGCGGGCTCACCAGGCCTCGGGACTATCAGAAACCGACTCAGGATGAAAAGCAGGTCCCAGGGAATGGGTCGATTATGTTGGGGGTCGACGTCACGAAAAAATCATTACGCCGGGGGTCCGGGTTTGATGCTTTCAAACGTTTTCGTTGGCTCTCGGCGGCATCGCAGCCTCGGGATGCCTTCCAGCTGCTGCGCCTTGCCGAGGGCATTCCGGGGGTGCCGGGATCGCCCCGGGAGGCCGC